GGAATTATCTTATCCTTTCTTATTAAAAGTAAATGTGAATGATTCAATAGAGAGTAGAAATTTAGCATGGTGCAGTAATGCAGAATAGGGACAAATTTGCCCAAAGGGGAAAAAACTGCTAGGATAAGACACACTTAGGAATAATGATATTATTTGCATAGAGACCATATTACTTTTATGCAGCCAATCAAAAGTTATGAAGGAACAATCTAGATTTATTAATTTCTTGGAACAGATTATTCTGACAAGATTCTGCTGCAGATATTAAGTGACATAACAAAAATAGTACCGTAATAATCTATAGAGGGGAAATCACAATTTGAAGTTTCCTAACACCATCATTCTACCCAGAATGAAAATATAATTTAATGGATTCCCAGTTGAGTAAATAGGTTTGATAATTGTTTTGGAACAGAAACAAGGTTGTTCCGGAAATTATTAGATTGAATCAACTTGTCATCTCCAATATCTTCCATAGAAACATCCTGGCTTCTTCAGAAAACCACCAAATTCTTCTTATGAACATCTTATTTCAGATACACTCATTCTAAATTTAAAAGCAGTTGGATAAAATATATTTGTGTTAATAAGTATACTATTAAACCATTAGCCTACCTAATATTATATGGAAAACTCAAATTAAAAGAAAATCCTGAGAAACATTCATATTAGTTATTTCATTTAGCCAGGTTTTTTCAAAATACATGTTGGTATTACTTATCCATATTTAAATCCTAAAGGCAACTTTCTTCCCATTAATTGACCAAGTACGTATCAACCAAAATTACCTATTCAACAGCTTTCATTAAAATAATTATAATTCACTTATAATTTTAATAATTTGGTTTGGACTTAAAGTTCATTTTTACAGAGATTTTTAGATATCTACCGTATTTCATACAGACCAAAAGAGCAGGTGGGGGATCCTTTTCCTGCAAGAAATCAAGAGAGGGAGCACCAGGAAAAAGCATTCTCAATGGTAGCCACCACGCTATAGAATCAACTGCCCTCGTGTACTGAGGTTTCAAAAAGCACTCCAGACTACGGTATGCAATGGTTCTTTAAGCAGAAGGTACTTTTTAGTGGGAGCAGCCAAAATATATATGAAGTCTTTAAGGCTGGGGCAAATTAATTTTTTAAAATTTATTTTAGGGATGGGGATTTTATCAGTTTGTATTATTTTGTAGTGTGATGTTTTTTGCTGATTTTATTATAAGTCATTTAGAGACTAGGAATCAGTGGCATATAAATCAAGATAATAAGTAAATAAACTGCATGGATCCAAAGTGATCTGCTTTCATGACAAAGTAAACAAGCTTACTATCTCCTAAATTCCAATTCAAGATGCTGATTATTACCTTTAAATTCCTTCATGGCATGGATTATCTGCAGGACTACCTCCCTAAGGGTATCATCTGTTCATCCCACCACAGCTGATGGGTGGGTGTGCTCCAGGTCCCTATCCTTAAATATTGGGGCTTCAGAAGTTTGCTTTCTCCACTGAAACTCTTGCCCTATAGCAGTGGTGGCGAACCTTTTAGAGACTGAGTGCCCAAACTGCAACACAAAACCCACTTATGTATTGCCGGTTGCCAGATGGGCGTGGCCCACTGGGTGGGTGTGGCCGTGGTCATGGCAGACTGGGTGGGTGTGGCCAAGGTAGGCGTGGTCACCTTGATGTTGCTTGTGGGGAGGGACTCTTGTGGGGACTGGGCAGGGTTGGGGGAGATCCACGGGGTCTCTGGCAGGTGGCGCGGTGGACAGGAGGCTCGTCCTGTGGGGCTAGGTGAGGCAGGGTGGGGGTGCCATTGTCGCAGGACAAGGCGAGGCAGGGGCCAGGGCGGCTGCTGCCTGACACCATCAGCCCACCCCCCACAGAGGCCAGCGAGCACATGGGGGCCGACAATGTCCAACAGCAGCCACAGCCTGCTAGCCCCTCGACCAGTGCACTCTGGGGCTCCACAGCTCGCCACCAGCAGTTCAGAGAAGCCGCCTCTGAGCTGGACGGCCGGCCGACAGCTGAGGAGGCGATGCAGTGGGTTGTGCCCAGGAAAAGGAGAGCATGCGAGGCCAGGAGGGATGGGACGGGTGGGAGGGAAACCAGCCATGCTGGGATACATCCGGCCACATGGGACCTCGGTGAGTTAGCAGGCGGCTGGTTGAAGAGGGACGGTTTCCAACTCTGGGGCATGGTGCACGTGCCCATAGAGAGGGCTCTGAGTGCCACCTCTGGCATGCGTGCCATAGGTTCGCCATCACTGCCCTATAGGAACATTCTTCCCCATGAGATAAAACAGCCCCCCACCCTTTTAACATTCAGGAGACCACTTAAGACTTGAGGTTTTTCCCTCAAGTATTTGGATAGGGTTAGACAAGAAAGTAGTGAGTGACATCGAGAAAGTATGGTTGTAGTGCGAGGTTTGTGTTTTGGTTTTACTGGTTCTTGTGTGTTTATTGTTCTATATACTTTATCTTTCAATTGTAAGCAGCAAGGAGTTTAGCTTTAAGATGGGCAGTTATCCAATAGTTTTATACACATGCACATACACACCGATGTATAGATAGAGTAAGATAAAGGCAGAAAAATCTCAGTTCTCTGGACTCCCTATTTAGGAACAGGTTTAGTTGGCAGAAGACTCAGACATGACTTGGCTATGTTAAACCCTTTATTGCAGACTTGAATGAAGCATATGCACACAGATGATTTGTTCTCAGGGGTTCAAAGAAATCCAAACATTGACAAAGGTCCATGCTCCAAGAGTTTTAGCTCTAGCTTCCCTCCCCCACCTTTCAGAGTTGAGATAAGTTTTTGTGGCCTTCAGCAGCATAAACATGGCTGCATAACAGTATTCCCTAGCCTAGAACCACTCTTTACAGTCACATTCAGCCCTTGCATCAAATATGCATAGTCTGATTCAACCAACAATGTCATTACAGATACTATCCAGAAATTCAAAACCTTTTTATAAATAAGAAAAATGAAGCCTTATCTTCTGCAGCTACTTCACCAAGCTTCATTTCTAATAAAGTTCACATGCCAAAAATTATTTATTAATTAAATGTGTATGCAGCTGAACTCAGTAACACAACTCTGGATAGGACAAGTTTAAGCAAGCAATGTTTACAAAATAACTGAATCCTTCATAATGTATCTACCGTACATATGTTCTTTTTAATATATATTTATTTAGTTGCAAACAGATTCAGATGAACCCTATAGGAATTTTTTTGATAGCATATCTAAATGGATGAACAACTTGCTAATTACATACTCTGGTCCAAAAGTCCTATGGCAAATCTGCAGAAAAATATTCTACCAATACTTTACTAATGTTGAAGAAAAAGCATGCATATCTATTACATGCGAAACCATTGCAGCTGACACTGAACAAGTTCTGGAGGTCCTTTTCTTTTAATAGTGACACAGCCACCCAAGTGTCCAATGCAAACAAAAAATTTTTTTAATTATCACTGTAGTTCTTTTCCCAAAAATCAACTGCATTCTAATTTCATTAGTTATAAATTATATTGTTTCATTTAACATATAAACATGAGCCAGTACACTATTTATAAAACTTGCTAATATAAATAGATGAATTAAGTGCAGATAAATTATTTCACAAGCCTTATATATGGGGAAAATATTTTTATCATTCAGAATAGATTTCTGAAATTCTGTCCCCCAATAATTTTAGATTTTGGTCATTTTATGGCAATGCTTTATGGTTACCAATGAAAACTGTGGGTTCTTTTGTTACCATTTACATTATCCTTAATGAAAGACATAAAATAACAGCACCTTCCAATTCAAGGGATATGCTCAGTATTTGTCATATTTATATCTTTAGCTTAAAATTAACTTTTCACTCTCAAAATGACATCTCAAAATATTTTAAATACTGAAACACTAATCTAACAAGCTTGATTTTTAGAAAACGAGGCAATACATTATGCGTTAGCCTGAGGTCAATAAAATTAAAACCTTTTTTGAATATTTAGAATATTTAGAATAAATATTATAAAATTATTACAAGTTATACATACTTTTAACATCTACTACTGAAAAACAGCATTAAGTTATTTATATTTTCCTAAAGTAGTTCATTGAAGTGGGTCAGATATTGTAAATTCTTAAGGGGAAAAAAATGGCTTGTCACAACTATCTTGTCAAAGCAGGTGCTAATTCCAGTTCCGAGGAGCAAATAATCATGGGAACTTGCCAAAAATGTCTAACGCAACAAAGGGGGTGGTGGTAATTCTTTAAAGATGGGTACTTGGCATATGAGTGTGGGTTTTTCGGTTTTTTTTATTTTTTTTAATCAAATAAAAATAAGGATAAAAATGAGGTCACTAAGGTGCGCCATTAAAGACCACAAAGATTCATTTACGGGCCGGAGACAGCGGTACGTTTGTTTTTCGGACAGCCAGCTGGTGGGAAAACAATACTCAATGAGGCGGTTACGAGCAAGCCGTCCAGCAGCCCCTCACGACCCAAATCCGGCCTTACATCGCCGGCTGCTGGCCGTTGCTTCTCTCTCTCTCTCTCTTTCTCTCTCCGCGCCCAAGTTCAGTCAAGTTTGCCGCGTTACTTCCACAAACCGGAGCAAAAGCACAAATGCGCGCGCGCCCGCCCAGAAGTACACCAAGGCCTAGTAGTGCAAGTCGCGCCAACACGCAGCGGGGCTTCAGGATACCCACAAAAGCCAGGGTCGGGCCAGTGAAGTCACAAACTTTCCGTATTCCCGCCCGTCCTGAGGAGGAAGGCTACCGGGGGAGCTAAAGGACGGGTCAGTTAGAGGCGAGAGGTCCTCCTGCCCAAAGAGCCCTCCCCTTTCCCCCTCTCGCCCGGGGAAGACAGGAGGCTCAAGGGGTTTCCCCGCTTCTTCACAGGGGATTCCCTTCTCCGGCCGGGTGTCAGCCGTTTGCAGCCGCGCTTCTCGTTCAAACCAGCCCGCCAGAACCCATTGCGGGAGGGGGGGGGAGGGGAGGGGGTCTCTTACTCGTAGTCCCTGAAGATCTCGTTGGTGACCCTGCAGTGGAAGACGTGCTCGTCGGGCCGGAGGTCAGCCGGAGGTTTCTCCCTCACGAAGGGCTTTCGGTGTAGAAGCGGCATCCCCCGGCTCCTGTGTCTAGAGAAGGAAGGAAGCGAGAGGAAGGCGGTAAAGAAAGGCGAAGAGCTCGAGCGGTGGCGGTCGTGGCCGGACGGCCGCAGACGGGTTCTTTTGTGAGCGTTTGACACGCTGCTCGCTCGCTGGCTGGGTCTGAGCGAGTTCTGTGGTGCGTGCGCGCGTCTGTGGGAGAGCGAGAGCGGATCCTTCCTTCCCTCCCCCGCTTCCCCTCCCCTGCGCCGCCTCACAATGGGGCCATGACGCCGAACAGGCGGCGGCTCCACCGGCGGCGGCGGCGGTTCCCCCCCCCTCCTCCTCCTCCTCGTTCTCACAACGCGCTCTTTTGACCTGGGGATTCCCCCACCCCAAAGCCACGCCGGCGGTCTAAAGGGGGGGTGGGTGTCCGCCTCCTGATCTGTGCGCCCTGGGCCAAGCACCTCTTTCCCCTCCCACCCCCGCGAAGCCGCCCGGGAAGAGGTCTTTGAGCATTTGTCGCCTTTTTCCTGCCCGGCTCATTTGAGAACTTTCCCCCCCACTCCCTTTTGAGGTTGAATGAGGGATCCCCTCCAGGTGAGAGGTGGTTTGGCGAGCCTTCCTCCTGTCAGGACGCTGAGGAGAGAAGAGGGGAGAGCCCTTTGGCAGACTCCCCCGGCCGGTCTGTTGGAGCAGATTGATCTTCCGGGGACAAAATGTTCCACCTTCTACTACCTGATTAGTAATATGATTGTTCCCCCCCCCCCCACCACCACTGTGACTGATAATTAATGATGCTCACCCCTTTTTTTCTCTCTCTCTATTTCTTGGTCCTTTTACTGTTTCTTTTCCGGCTCCACGGAAGTTTTTTGATCTACTTAAGCTCTCAACGAGGAAGAGCAGCAGGGAGGAGCTTTCGACTTCTTTCTCCTATATTATTATTGGCCGATCGCCGCCTTTCCAGCCTGTGACACACAGGAAGACAAGAGAGCTACATTATTAATTAATAGATGAAGTGCTCATCCTCCATTTTTAAATTAACAGCCCAAAAAGATCCGGGCCACGCGTTGAGGCTTTTAAGAGGCCTAACTTTAATATACGCAATTCATTAACCTTATAATACCCAAGAATCAGGTTAAGGCTTGTTAGCTTTGTGGCAAATATATTTGGATGCTTCAAATGGTACATGTTATTTCTTTTAAAATCAGTACGTTTTTGTTTTTTAAAAAAAGTAACAATAGGACTAAGTCCCTAATCTGCTGAATCACTATCCTAACCGTAGACTTTCTCAATTTTATATTCATTGGGTAACACGTTGCACTAACCTTGATGATGTGGGTTGCTAGTCTTGGTTCAACATCTTATGTAAATATATCCGAGTGGTCTGTTCACTAAGCAAACCGTGTCTCAGTGGGAAGTTACATCAGGCTTATTGTGACTAAATTCACACTCATTATTTCATAGCAGTATTTTAATATGTCAATTAAAACTTAGCCGCACTCTCCAAAGTCACTCTCCCCCATTCCAGGTTATCTATTAACTTTTTAATATCTTGGTATGGTATTTATTTCTAATACTTATGTGGAAGGAGCTAACAGGTGAAGAAATAAAGATATCTTTGATGAATGTTTAACCAAAATTCTATCAAAAATTAAAATTGAGCCACTTCTAATAAGATTATACAAAGGACAGCTATTTTAAAACCATAGATATTTTTATATTTTTTTTCTGCAAGATATGTGCTATAATTATATATAACCTGTATTCTAAACTAACATATTCTAAATAATACTAACATAGCTACCTAAAACTATTTTATCATCTTATGTGACTGTAACCTGTGTCTCTTAATTTAAGACATTTTGGCTACTATTCTAAGCATTTTTACTAGCTACTAAATCCTGTATTGTTGAATTTGCGATTCAGCCTCTAGATCTGATCCAATAAATCAGAAAGTTTGTTTAAAATTATTTCATTATTTTATTTAAATTATTTAGCTTTTTTTAGGTAATAGAATTTTTGGGGGAAATTGGTTTCTTCATGAACTTTATTTTTATTTATTATTAAATATAAATTTGAAAAATACATAAATAGAATTTATTATTGCCCTGCTACTGATAGGCATTATTATTCCCAAAGTAGCATTTGTATCCCAATCATTTTTTCATTATTTGCAAAAATGATTCTTTACTGCTAGGTTCTAGAACTCAGAACTTTTATTGATGTAAAAAATTATGGTAAGTTCCACAATAAAGTTTATAAAAAGACTGGTCATTAAGCTATGAGAGAAACACTTGTAATAAAAACCTGTTTAAGAATATAGGAAAAAACGAAAGCTATCGTATCTTTGCAACTTGGAACAATAGCATGGCCTATTATAGAATGTTTCCTTTAGCAATTTAAAACTAAAAATTAATTAGTTAATGAATTAGATAGCACTCTGCATCACCATAAAAAGAGCAGCCATTCCAATGGTTTTTAAAGTAAATGAGCTGTTAGTCAAAAGTTATAATCATAGACTTTTGGGTCTTGATTTATTACCGTATTTTGTTAAATGTATTCATCAGTTGACTACACTGTTTGATTTTATTTTATTTGAGATAGTAGTAATAATTCATTGTTTAGCTTGATACCTACAAATGTACTCCAATCCATAGGTATGAGGAAGATGGATTTTGGAATTGCGCAATCTTCTTTGTTTTTCCATTGTGGCTCTGTAAGTAGTTCTATTGATAGATCCTGGTTTGTCTTCCTAACCTAATGCCTAAAAATGTTGTGAGATTACAATGTAGTCTTTCAGTTCCTTAAGGCAAGGATGAAATATAAATAAGAAGATAAAATAAGAAAATATATAACTATATTTTTGTTATAAAACAGGATTTTATTTTTTCTGAAATAATCTAATTTCCTACCTCAGATAACACTACGACAAAGTGTTTTCTGGCATAGAGTTAGATGAGCAAAGAGATTTCTTTGGGAAAAGTAATTCAGGGTATAAATACAATAAGAAAAGTGGATTATAGTATGGAAACTACCTCTGCCTGGTAAGTAACTGACACTGTTGCATTTGATATCCATATTTTGACACCTGATAGTTAACATTAGTTCAGTTTGGATCTGAGTATTATGAGATTCTCCCATGGACTTTTTAAATTTTTTTTCTTAGCTGAGGAAATACTTTCTATGGTGGTTTCTACCAACATATGAGCAATTTACACATATTGTCTGTATATTTCAGAAGCATTTTAAGACAGAGTTAGGATGCATTGTTCATTTGTGTGACACCTTTTAGTCTTTACTGGCACATCTTATGAATTAAAAATGTGATCTCTAATTTCCAAAACTTACTTATGCTTATGCATGGGAAAGGAAGATGGAGGCTTCTCTTAATTACTGCTCTTCTATTTGAAAAACCTATCTATTACTGTTTCACAGAATACCAGCATTCTGAAGAATATAGTGTGAAATATTTTTTTCATACCAGGTATGACAGGAGTATATGAATGTTTTCAGCTGAGAATTGCACTTGGCCTAAAAGGAATTTGGGGAAGATACACTTCAAAAATAGGTAACAGTAGAGCAAAATCTTGATTGTATGAGCTCCTCATTAGGTAACGACATTTTATCCAATAGATTGGATAGCCAATTCAGAGATGCTTCAATTTGATTTCTTCTGTTACCAGGATAAACCTGATGACTTCAATAAGTCTTCTACCTTTCTTATTTTTGGCCTTATTTTGTTTGACAATCGAAAACCCAGAAACAGGACACAAATGTAATAGCACCAGGGCTTTTTTTCTCATAGAATGCCCAGAACGGAGTTCCGGCACCTTTTTTGGATGGAACCTTGTAGAGTAGGCAAGGCAGTTGTATGACATGTGTGTGTTCCGGCACCTTTTTTTTTTATAGAAAAAAAGCACTGAATAGCACCTTTGTGATATCATTCTCCTGACAGATATATCTTACTAAGCCATAATTGATTCGCTTGATTTGGGCTTATGTGTTGTTGATCCCTGCCTTTAGGGTGGCAAACCATGAATTATGACAATTAGGTAAACCAGCCAGCTTAATTAATTAATTTGATTTAACAATGGTTAAATCAAAGTGTGAATGTGTCAATGATATATTTTGATTGCTTTATTCTCCATGATTTGTCACTATGAATTGATATATTTGTATTAATAGTTAAACTGAAGGACAATTGTCTTTTCACCACTGGTTTGCCCATAAAGCACAATAAAGCACATTTGTGGGTATTCCACAAATGATTAGTACCTGCTTTAATGGAGGCTTGAATTTACTCAGAAACAAATTAATTGAGACAAAAAATCAACAAAAATTAGGGCTATCTTTATAAATTATCCTTAACCAAAGATACTGAATGCCATCTAGTGGTAACTCTAATAAAGTTTATAAATAGCTCTTGAAGCACAGTAGACATCAGTGCAATCTATTAAATAAAACTATACAGTATTTGGGATGAGTTTTGTTTTATGCAATGGATAATAAAAATATGGACTGTTGGTTTCATTTATCAATATATTTTTCATTTCTTAAAGAATGTATATTACAAAAGAGGAATAAAAACCTATCCTGATGATACAACAGTCATTGGTCTCATTCAAGATGGTGATGAGTCTACATGTAGACGGGAGGTTGAACAACTGGCCCTGTGGTGCAGCCAGAACAATCTGGAGCTAAACACACTTAAAACTGTAGAGATGAGAGTGGATTTTAGGAGGAGCTCTCCTATTCTACCACTTCTTACTATATTAGACAATACAGTATCAACAGCAGAGTCCTTCAAGTTTTGGGGTACTATAATCTCCCAGGATTTGAAATGGACACCTAACATTAGACCCATCATTAAAAAGGCACAACAAAGAATGTTCTTCCTTCATCAACTCAGAAAGTTCAGACTGCCCCAGGAGCTGCTGATAACAGTTCTATAGAGCTCATAGCTCATTCAACTTTAGTCAAGCCAAATTGGAGGGACAATTGTAACCTTCTGGATTTGGAAGAATTTATTTACCTACTTACTTACTTATTTTCTGTGCTGACCATCTCAAGGAATGACTGGGCAACTTACAATTCAGTTATTCTTGGCAATGGACAGCCAATTTGGTCTAGTGGTTAGACTTGACTAGAAATCAGGAGACTATGAGTTCGTCCTGCTTTGAGCATGAAAGTCATCTGGATGACTTGA